GCTATACGATAGCGGTAAGCGTACGTATTAGGGGCTCTACCTTAGCGCATTCGTAGCAAGAATCGCTAGAGAGGTTAGTAATCGAGTAGATAACGAGATATAAGCGAGTAGACTTACGCGCACTTAAGATACTTTATAGGTGCTATACTAAACACTATATTATAGTTAATAGCTCTAGAATAGCCTTTACCTACTTTCTTAAGGTAGGTAAGGTAAGAGTCTAGCTTACTAGTAGCGCGGCGCTTCGACGCTAGCGTAACTAGCGGAGGGCTCGTAGGGTAAGCGCGCTTAGCTCGCTTAAGAGGCATAGTCGTATCCTTAATATAGTAGTTATTATTACTTAAAGAGTTTCGGAGAAACTACAAAAGTATTAGCTACGGCTTAGTTACTACGCAAACATTATAATAACTGCTTATACTAGAGATCGATAGATACCGTCCGCATTTAGCGACAAGGCGAGTCGCTAGCGATAATATGTCGAGATAATTATCTATACCCTTACTACGGCTATAGCAATTAAGGGAATTAAACCCTCGCTATTCTTAGTACGGTATTTAGCCTACTAGAATAAATATATATTAATTATTATTACGTTTAATATAGCCTTAACCGGCTAATTAATAGGGCATTTATATAAAGACTAATCTAAGGTCTTTAGAAAGATATAGTAGCTATCGCGGTTACGAGTCCCTAGCAGATCGCATATAATATACTAAGGGACGAGTTTTAAATTTATTAATTCGTTAGGCGGACCCTTTAATCTTTATCGCTTTTCCTCGGGAAAAAGTATATAGGAATTAAGCAGCGTAGAAGCTAAGCGCGTATCGCCCGCGGGGCGCTTATAACGCGCACTCTATAGATCCCTAAACTAAGGCTAGTTCGTATAGGGAGAGGAGATAATTATAAGGGCTAGGTAAAGCCTACCTTATAAGCAGTTATAGACTAAGGTTAACCGTAGCATATAGCTACGTTAAAGGAGGAATAGGAAAGCTTCCGCGAAGCTAGCTTAGCGTACGCGAAGCGACTTCTACTTCCTCGCGCACCGCGTATTATCGACCTATAAGAATTAGTCTTATCTCTAATCGAGTAATCGAAGGTAGTCGATATATTGCTACATTTTTACACCCTTATACTTACCTATCGCCGAGGGAAAGAGAGTAATAATAACACTTAGATAGTAAGTAGTAACGAGGATAGAGCTATTAATATTAAGAGCTAGATTTAAGAGAATGTTATCGATATAAAAGGTCTTTTAAAGAGTACTAAACTTACGGCTAGCTATCTACGTATTAGTAGTAGTATAGCGAGAATTATATAGAAGGATAAACAGAGCTAGTACGGCATTATTAAATAGTTAATATTATTCTATAGGGCTAGTAGGAGCGAAATATATATTACTATAGATATCGAGTTAGAGCCTTTAGTTATAATACTATTAATACTAGCTCTAACTTAACAAACAGCTACTATAATTTAACTCTCCGGCCTACCGTAGAATTAAGAGGGCATACGTATTACTAGCAACTTCTTAGAGGTAATAACAAGCCGGTAGACCTATAATAACCGCAACTATAGGAACTACGGCTTTTAGTATTACCTACCTCCGGACGCTCGTAATTACTATTTAAACTACTTTCCGATATATAAGTAATAGCTTATAGTATAGCAAAAGGGCATCTTAGAGGGAACACTTACTATAGACGAACTAAGCCCTACTATTATACGTAATCTAGTGCTTATAAAAGAGCGTAGTTTTATAAGCAAGGACGGTAGAATAAATAGTATCCGTAAGATAAAAAACGAGCTAATAGCATTAAGTAATAGTAATACTATTATTTACTATAACCTCGCTCTATCTATAACGCTAATACTAGGACTAAATAACGTAATATTGCCGCTATCCTTATAGCTAGAGGTTAAGCATAAACTTAAAGAGTTTATAGAGTATTATAGCCTTAGGAAAGAGTAGTAAGGGGAACTATAGAGAGCAGCGCTATAGCTTATTAAGCGGTTGTTAATTAATAAGTTCGTTGCTATCGTTAATATTACTAGCGTAAGTAATGCAGTTTAGACGAGGGCTAGTATACGTATTAGATATAAGATCAGAGCTATTCGCTCTACGTAGGAGTTTAAGGATATAAAGCGTAGGGCTCGTAGATTAAGGCTTTAATAACTTTTAAACTAACGGTCCGACTTACGTTATTTTTGTTCGAGCTTCTTTACCGTACTTAGTTATATTTATCTATATTTATATCTTATTTTTAGTGTGTATTAAATAGTATTGTTTTATATAGGCAGGAAAAAAAAGAGGATATATAAAGTCCGCTAAGCCCTATTAAGCTAGTCGTAGAATTATGTCTTATCTAAAATAGTTATTAATTTATTGCGTAGCAGCTAGTTAACTATATCTAGTTAACAGCATATTAAAATGTAGCTCTAGACGAGCTCGAGTTTTAAGTATTTATTTAGTAAATTTAAAGTATACGGTTATTACGTAATCGTGTGCTATGCTCTATAGATTAGAGTATTTTAGGGTCTAAGCGGTATCCTTAGCATCCCCGTATAGCCGCTAGCTTTAACTTCGTAAAAGACTTAACTATAACACGCTTACTAATCCTACGGAATCTAGCCGCCGTCGTATACGGCCGCTTTTAGCTATATATATAAGTAATTTAGATAACGTCTACGACGACTTATCGACTATTATAAGCCTCTTAATCGAGCACATGAAAATTATTAAATAACTCGAAATTTATAGGTTAATCCTTCCTTACTACTAACTCGCTCTCTACCGTCCTTACTACCGCTAAATACGACATCCTTACTATTCCCTATACTACTAACGTATAAGGATCTTACTATAATCTTTAGGGACATATAGCTTACTACCCTATAAGTAGTAATTAATAAGGCATTAGAGGTAATACTAGATATAAAACTAAGGATTAAATTACTTAACGGAAGGATTGTAGTACTTAAGGATATAGAGCTTCCTATATATATATAGTACGATTAGCCGGTAGTAACAAAGATAGAGGTAGATACTAGTTCTAAATTAAATAATAAACTCTAGCTATATCTACTCTTCTAAAAGTACTTCTATACGGTTGTCCGTAACTCTTTAGCTACGTTACGTACTATATCTATAAGGAAGCTCTCGAAGTTATTAACTATCTATATATTACGATGCCTCTTAATCTAGCTCTTTAGTATATAAAAGGACTGTTCGATAGGGTTATAATCCGGTAAGTAAGGCGGAAGTAGTTTAAGGAAGCAATTAGCATCGAGGATAGCCTATATAATAGCGTCGCTCCTATAGATTAAAGTATTATCTATAACGATAATTAAACCGGTTAGTAATTAAGGAAGGATAGTCTACTATAGCTAGTTTAGTATATCCTCTTAAGTAATCGATTCTTACTTTAAGAGCGGCTTATTAAGCTAGCTACGTATAGTTATTATAGGTATAAGAGACTACCGTTCTAACCGTTTAGCTAGTAAGCTCGTATCTACTAGATAGCTAATTAGACTCTATAAGTAACGCCTATTAAGTATAAGAGTAGGGCCTTAGAACGAAGGATAAATACTAACTACCTACTACTAGTCGTTCCGCTTATTATACGCGCTCTCGTCGATAAATACTAATTAGTTACGGCTCTAATCGACTACTCTTACTCGCTAGTAAGCCCTTAAAGCCGTATACCGCTTATCTATAATCCTCCGAGCTACCTTCTTCGAATACGTATACCGCCGAAGGAGCCTAAATATACTAGAGTCCGTAAAAACGTGTCTAGTTTAATCGAATATCTACTATACTATCTTATCTAAATACGCGTCCGGATACGCATAAATAAACTCTATAAACTTATCCTCTTCCGCTTATATAAGGCGCGTTCGGATACGCTAGCGTACGTAGAACGGAGGATACGGCTCTTCGAAGAGCTCGTAGCTTAGCCTTATAAATACGACGGTAGATCGCGCTACCTTATAAGAGAGGGTAATAGTATAGTTACTAAATATCGTCGTTTCGAAGGCTACGCGGAGCTAGTTATAAAGCGGAGGGGGTAGTTGTTCGCTAGGCCGGCGCGGCGTAAGGTACGGCTTCTTTAGAGGTTAGAAAAAACAATACCTTTTATATAGACTACCTACCGATATAGTTTAGACGATATACGGATAGTATTAAGAGGTTTTAGGTGCTATAAAGGGTGCTATAGTACTAATATTAGTGTGAGGGCCCTCAGCTAGCCTACTAACTAACTAGCCGAGGGGTGGCCGACGTTGGAGTTAAAGAATTATAAAGCCGGCCGCCTACATATCTGAAAACGGTAAATTTATTGCCGCCGGATTATGTCCGCTCCATCTCCAGACTATTACTATACACCCATCGGGTTTTAGGATAGCAGCTCGTGTCCTAGGCGTGGAAGTTTTCCGATCTAGGTCGACATCCCATTGCTCGTGTAAGATAGACCTAGTATACTTGCTCGACAATACACGAATAACGATCCAATGCGCCGAGTTAGTATTCTGTGAATTCGTTCTTACGACTGGTCCGCGTACAAGCGATGGATCCTCCATCTTAAATGCGACAATCGGGAGGTTCGTCGAGCTACGGCCGGCTTTTTGTGTCCCAAAGTCGATGAGGCGGGGGGGAACAGCGGAGTCCGCAGGCGTATCGACGACGGGAACGTCTGCTTGCACACGCATGATCGCCTTCACTGCACAAATGATGACAGTGGGACGTCACTCCAGAAAGATCATCATGCAGCCATAGTTGATGATGTCTCTGTACGGAACTGCGAAAAGCGAACCCGAGCCAGCAATAATGACATGCAGCAGCCGACTTACTCCGCACCGAGAAATGGTAGACGGGCAGATCTGATCAATGATTCTGTAACCGAATACACTGGTAAAAACATCATATGCAGAGTAGTAGTATCATCTACAAACCCATTCCCAAACGCCCCCCAAAAATCTGTCGTATTCTATCCTTTTCTTCCAAATCAAATCCTCCCCCGATTCAGCGGCACCTGCTGCTCCATCTTCCCATCCATCAGAATACTCTGCCTACTAACAGCAAAGTTGCCCTTGGCCATCATAGTCCTATACTCCATCAACTCGGCATTCTGCTCGGCCCACTTCTCATCATGCATCGCAGCTTCCAATTTCCCTTCCTTGCGCTGCTTGACGCAATAGAATCCAAACGCCACGAATGCGAGGAGGAATGCCGCGGCGATGCCGCATGCGATGCCGATTTTGGCGCCTGTGGACATGCCGGTCCATTGTTTGGAGATTTTTTGCGAGGTGCTTTCGGAGTTGAGGTGTTTGTATGCTTTGGATTTACCTCTGTGAGAAAGGTTAGAGGGTCTATTCGTGCCATTGGAATGGGTATTGGTTGGAGGTTCAACTTACTCGGTGATTTTAATGCTTGCAGCAGAACCACTCATATCGCCATATGCATACTCGGTAGCATTGGAAGTTCCATCCACGACTCTCAAACTCTTGACAGTCATGGTATATGGCGCACCACTCCAATCGGGTTTGCCACCAGCCCAATCCACCGTTCCTTGGTTTTTGGAACAGCCTCCGCACCAAGTTCCGAACTGCACGCGAGAGGGGGTTTGAGGGTAGAGGCCTGGCTCCGCGGCATTGACGGTTCGCACGAGGGCGTTGTTGAGGTAGAAGAGGATGCGCTCGGCRTTCCAATCAATGGTGTAGTTGTGGAAATCTTGCTGTGGACCATCCACTGCTGGGTATTCGGAGAACATTTGGTCGAGATTTCCCCAGCCGTAGTAGTTGTTGGAGACGGTCGTCGTGTTGCTGCCTTTGACTTCCCAGTCTATTTCATCCAAATCCTGACTGAGCAGAATGACGGTGGAAATGAGGCCGGTTCCAGGCGATGCCTTCATGATGAATTCTACGACTCCCCAGAAGATGAAAAAGGTCGAGATTAGGGTTACGGTATCTTTTTCGCTGGAGAGGGATAGTTGAGCACCATCGTCGCCGAATTGAATGAGAGATTTTCCGGCATCAATGGTCCAGAGATTGGGATTGAATTCGGTGGTGGTGGCGTTGTAGGTTTCCTCGAGTGTTGTTCCCAAAGCTGGGTTGACGGGACATGTTGAATTGCGGGGATTGCAGTTTGTGAATGTTTGCGCCGCGACGCGACCTGCTAGGATGGTGAGGGGGAGGAGGAGGCGAAACATGGCGTCTGCTGTCGTTTGACAATATCGAGCACGGTCGTGTTTCGCAGTGTAGAAGTACACCAGGGCCAGCCTGTGAAGGGTTCCAAGATAATGACTGTGTGTTGTGTTCAAGCAATGTGCGCGAAGATGTGAAGGATGAGAGAGAGAGGAGAGGTCGTTTACGCGACTGAAATGTGGAATGCTCCAAGTCCCAGGGGTCATAATTGTCTTTAGCGTTTGGAAGGAGTGATTGGGTGCAGTCCGGCGCATCTCAATCTATCTAGCGCAGGTACCACACCGATGCACCTGACGTCGATCATCTACGTATCTCCACCCAAACCGCCGGAGGGATGTGAAGATGATCAAACGGTGCAACGAGCGATGATGGAGGGGTTGCACAACTTGTGAAACCTGGAACCACATCCGCTGATAACGGTGCAGCATCATTGGAGGCCAGCATGACGACGTGTGTGATGTAGCCTTACCTCTGCCATGCAAATCCTCTTGGAAGGGAGTAAATCCCCGAAGCGGCCAAGCGTCCAGATCTTGGACAGGGATTTGAGGAGACCGTCGGTCGATAGTTTGCTCTTTTTCTTCCCTTTTTTTGCGTATACGAAAAAAGTAGCGTAGCATAGGCGATTGCTACTATTTTAGGTGGCTTCTACAAGACATCGTCATGATAACAACAATGCCAAGTGCTCACAACGGAAAGTCCCATCATCCATGTTATTTCGCAGTCTTGGAAAGAACATTGCATCGGTGGCCGAAACGGACTGGCTCCGGGAGATACTGTAGGTACCTAGTTCAGAGTTCATGTGTATGCCGACATGATTCGTCCCTTGTCTGTGCTGTGCTCTCCCACCGCAGAAAGTATACTGTTGTGCAGCTGGGCTGATAAGACTCGTGACAGGGTAGTATTCAGCATCTGAAGTCATGACTTTATCATACAATACTCAAGAGACAACGCAGCACCACAACAACACCCGCTAATGCTCGACGTCAATGCATTCCCTCCCATCCTTCACAATATATGCTTCACTTCTCCTCCCCACCAGCTCTCCGATCCAACACCTTATCCACGATCCCCCACTCCCTCGCCTCATCCGCACTCATGAAGAAATCCCTCTCCATGACCTTACCAATCTCCTCCAAACTCTTAACCTTGCCCGCCTTCTCCAAATGCCTCCGATAAATCTCATCCAACTGCCCTCGAACCCTCAAAATCTCCTTGGCATGAATCGCTATATCCGTCGCTTGACCCGAGTACCCACCACTGACCTGATGGACCATAATCCTACTATGCGGTAAACAGAATCTTTGTCCTGCAGCGCCTCCACAGAGGAGTAAGGAGCCCATGGAAGCCGCTTGCCCGAGACAGATGGTCGTGACGGGCGCGGAAATGTATTGCATAGTGTCGTAGATGGCGAGACCTGCGGTGACGGAGCCGCCGGGGGAATTGATGTAGAGGGAGATGGGTTTGGAGGGATTCTCGGCTTCGAGGAAGAGGAGTTGGGCGACGATGCTGGCGGAGAGCACTTCTTCCACCTCGCCATTGAGGCAGATGATGCGTTCTTTCAAAAGGCGGGAGAAGATGTCGGCTGGTGGGGGGTGTCAGAATGTACATGGTATGAAGATGAGGATGAGTGTATTGGATTACAGGTATGCCAGCCTCCACCCTTGAGAATGTTAGCTTGCGGTGATGCAGTAGATCTTGAAGGTGTACATGCCACTGTTTCCGTCACAAAAGGCATTGGTAGAGCTCCCGTAGGTGCTCCATTGGTCTGCTGTCTGGGAGTCCCCGCAGATGTAGGCGCAAAGGGCGGAAATGCAGAAAACCGACGGCGGGACATCTGTCTGAGAACATGAGAGCGTGTCGCCCGAAGGCTCGAACGTGCGATGAATTCCATCTGGTGTTGTCGTGGGTATGTGTGATCGAGCCGATCAAAGCCCGCTGAAGCTCCAAGGCAAGGGAAGGCAAGGGAAGGCAAGCTATCGATTCCTCACGTAATCAGCCTTACGGCTCTCACGAACCTCACCTGCAGATCCCTGTTCATTCACTTACATCTCTCTCCATGCAACATGTGACACGCCTATCCGGCTCGCGTCTGCAGGCACGAATCCACTTCCGAATCCATCATGTCAGGAATTCCAGCTCATTCATCGCATTGGAACGAGCAGAAGAAGGAGATTCTCCTCCAGCAAGAACGCTCCGCTCTCGATCCCATGGAAACAGCTCCCTTCCAATCTCCGCTCTCTTCGACCCAGTAACAATAGCAGCAAGAACAAAACATGAAGAACCGAAACCCCTCCCACCACAAAATCCCACGGAAATGACCGACTTCCAGCGAGACCTGGCCCAGAATGTCCACGGTACGCACGCCAACGAAGACACACCCCTACACACAAGGTCCTAATACAGCAGAAATATAGCACAAGCCCTAGCAACCCCAATCCGAGCCTGCGTCCTAACAAAAGCCCGTCTACCCTCCCACTTCCTCATCCCTTTCGTCTCCAATCTCCCCCCAAAAACCCCCAATGCACAATCCACACCTCCCCAACCCCCCCTCCTCATCAAACCCTCCCTCGTCCCCCGAATCGGACCCTGGAAATCCTCCCAACCTTCAAGCTACATCCTAGCCTCCCACTCCGCCATCGCCCATCTCATCGGCCCGCGAACGCGCAAGAAAGAAAAGGGAGGTTCGAAATGGGCCATGTTGGTCAGTGAGCGCATGAAGAAACCTTGGGCCATGAGGGAGAGGAAGAGTGTGGATAAAGTTGCGGTTGCGAAGGAGTGGGAGTGGGATGAGGAGATGGATGAGAGGGTCAAGGGATTACTTGGGAGGGAGGTTGTTAGGAGGGTTAGGTGGTGTGTTGGGCAGGAGGAAGATTTGGTTGGAAGAGTTGGTGAGGGTGATGGGGAGGACGAGATTGTGGTGAGGATTGGTGGGGAGGGAGATCAGATTGCGGGATTCGATTTGAGGGAGATGGTGGATGAGGAGGCGCTGGTCGAGTTACGTGGATTGTTCGATGGAGCGGATGCGTTTGTCTTGAGGAGGCATTCCAAGACTGTCATCACGCATTTGGCTCTGGAGGCGCTGAGAAACTACACAGAAGAAATTGACACATGATTGAGTTCTCTGGAAATGGTGGATCTTCGCTGCTACTCCCCACTTACAATCTCGCTCTATCGGCTCGCCATTGCCGGTCTCACTCTACGGTCGTGCCCCATTTCAACGCGATCCCAGTGCCGCGACAGCAATGGATGCCATCTCGCCTTAGCGGCATGGCAAGATTTCCATGAGCAGCCTTGACTCGTTTAGCCGCTTCTCGTGCGCTTCTGGCGTTCGACCCCGTATTCCCTATCCTTCGATCAGAGTACCCGGGGGTAGTGACGTGAAGAGCTCGAGGATGTGCAGTAAGCCACATTCAGGAGACTCTCTCCTTAAGCACACGAACAATGAACGGGCGTACCAAGCAGCTTTGTATGGTAAAGTTCTCGCTGTGCTGCCAGAATGCAGCACGAAGGGAACTCCATCCTCGTCGGCGCGCATCGTGAAGCAAACACTGGGCCATGAACATCGAAAGCCTTTGAGGCCATGCTTCCTCAGCACAGACATGCTCCGGAGTTTTGCCCCGATGATTCCCATCTGTTCCAGGAAGTCGCCTATGGACTCGGCGAGGTAATGACCTTGTTCAGCCAAGTTGATGTTGAACACATCGATATCCCAGAACACCTTCGCGGCAGCCTCGAAAACCGGCCCAGCTTCCTTGTAGATCAGCTTGCAAGTAACCAGAAGGCTAGTCTGTGGGTAATGGTCCTTGGCTTTGAGCAGGTCGATCTGGCGAGGTTCTTTCTTGCCAAGCATGATGCTCTGATCCGACACCGCGCTCTCCTCCAATGCTGCGCTTTCCCCTCCTGCGTCATCGGCTTCGCTCCCGACATAGACTCCGACCTCATCCGGCACGCTGTCGCCGAATGTGTACTCGTAGATGCGGACTCTGAGCTCAGCGGGCAACTTCATCAGGCGGCTTGACATGTTTGCACGGTAATGAAGGTGTTTGGAGAAGCGGCGCTGGTTGTGGTGTGGAGAAGATTGCTGGCGGTCGCGGAATGGCTGGAGTTGTGATGTTGTGGTGTGTCGTTGGATTGTGTTTGTGTGTCGAAGAGCAAGAAAGTGTTGAAGTAGCAACGAGAGTTCGATGCGCACGCTACCTTAGCGTTCCACTACGCCRGGAGCGCATGTGAAAGAGCAAGAGCGGACGGGAGCTTTACTACGAGCGCCACCATAGACTCACTGGCTTCACTTCAAACAATCAACTGGTTCAACAATGCAGTCGGGACTCTCCATTGGTGTGCTATTGAGTTCGCCGCATCTCTCCGCGCCGAAGATTACAGATGCGAACCGGGCAACGACATTGGCTATGACTCTGAAGATACGTCGCCTTCTCACACCCGAGTCAGCTTCTACCTCTACCTCGACCCCGACCTCCCTTACCTACATAGGTAGATTTGTATCTAWCAARCTCTTAGTACCAGCACCAGCACCCCAACGACCAAGCTACGGAACATGCGGTCATCCCCTCCCCCGCTTCGAAGCGCATCTTGATGCCTCCCACAGCATCCAATCCACTCACATAGGGAGTTCCGGATGATGTCGAAGAGGACGCAACATCCAGGCCGCGGAACATGGACTCTGTCGACTTGAGGAGGAGCTAAAGGTGACCATCGAGAGCATGGAGTACCATTTCTCTAGCATCGATCTTTCAGCACCTTGACAACTTGCATACCGCATGTCATTATTTGATCCCATCGCTATCTTCCTCATAGTCTCTCAAAACAGTCAGCCATGTCCAACTCTTTGGCCAACACAGTCTGGAAGCCTGTGAGCAGACCTAGAAGTAACAGCCAACCCATACCAACCCTGCTCGAAAGACCTACCTTGCTCCCACATCACACAAACTCTCCAATCATATCACCACAATGCAAAGCTACCGTCATTTCGAACAAACACAAGGCGAGCTCTGCTCGCTCCCCGGCACAATATACAGAATTTCCTACAAAGCAGTAGGAACCTACCGATGCCGCACCTGCATGTGCATCTACGTCAAGTTCAAGGACGATAGCGTCTTCATCGTACATATAATAGCGCAAAATATGACAACCCCTGAACAGCTATCAACCTTGAGCGGTGAAGAAAAGTACGACGTCGTCTGGACATTCGGACAGGAGAAAGGTGGTAAACTCAAACAGTCTGTGTATGAGCAACCCGTATCTCAACTCGGGGAGGGACGACGCGATCAGGCAGTAACGATGCTTGATTTCCTCAAAGATGAAAAGCAATGGAGAGACGGCTTATACACGATGGATGAAAGAAGCGATCGATGAGTCTTTCAACGGGATTGAAATTGAAGCGCTTGATGGACTTGTACTTGTTGCAGCACCTGGTATGGAGACGAAAGTCTTTGGATGGGAGATTGATGCGGATGGGTCTCGGGTGATGAGATGACGCCCGAGAGGTATGGCTGGTAGTCCTGTGACCAACCTTTATTTGACCAGAAAGACTCGGATGATATGGAAAAGGGGAATCGGGGATTCTTAAGCGTCGGTGGCGAGTGGAGCGTGGGAAGGAGCAAGGTGGAGGGTTTGGAGAATGCTCGGGTTGGATTTTCATACTATCATTGGCAGGCTCGAAATTCTGATTGATGGGTTCAGCAGTCTCAAGAATCGACTGATGGCTCGTAAGTCCTCACTCTTCTCATTATCCACGTTGCAAATAGTGCTACCACCCTCATGGCCACCTCACTAAACCACAACCATACACTGCGCGATGGACATGTAGTGTGGAAGAAGATGAAGCAGCACTCAATCACTCGCAGCAGCCAAACGATTCCAGCTCTTCACAGCAAACAAATATCCAGAAACCCACTCGCAAACTCGCAAGCAACAGCTCCCCTATATAACTCCCACCCATCAGCATCCCTACCATCCCTCCCAACCACCGCACTCCAAAATGCAACACTTCCGCCACTACGATCAAAGTTTCGGCGAGCTCTGCAAACTCCCGGGTGTACTACAAGACATCACCTACCACGCGGTAGGAACATCCGAGTGTCGAACCTGTCTATGCCTCTATGTGAAATTCACCGACGAAAGCGTCTTCATCGCACACATGAGCGCCTCACTCATCGACGAATTTCCACCACAATCATCATCATCATCATCATCATCATCATCGATAAGCAAAGAGGCGAAAAGGGAAAAGAATTTGGCAAACTGGACATCCTCCGCAGAAAAAGGAGAATCCCTCAAACAATTCGTCCTGAAACAACTCCGTTCCTCAGCAGCAACCGGTTCAAAAGAAGACCTAAGTAACAAAACCCCCATTGAAGCATTCTTCGTTTGTCCCGCAATCGCATACCACGGTCCCACAGCCAACGGAAGATATATCCGCGACGCTATTCAGGAATTCTTTCATCCGTTCCCAGTACAAGCTTTTAAAGGACATGGATTTGTCGCTGGACCGGGAATTTCGACTGTGGTGATGGGATGGGATGATGGAGCTTTGGAGACGGAACCCCAGCCGTCGGAAAGAGAGAAGGGACCGAATGTGTATGGTTGGAAGGAGGTGGGTCGTGTGGTGGTTGATGATGAAAGTTTTGATGATATGGAAAAGGGGCAGTGGAGTTTTTATTACTATATGGATAGGTGGGGTACTCATGGTGAACAGGTTGCACGGTTTGATGAGAAGGAGTATGGGGGGAGGTGAGTGGTAGGTATCTGGTTGTTTTGGCGTGGAATTCCTCCTGGCTCGGTTTCCATGATGTGCAAAAACAGTACTAGACAGTCGAATGGAAGTCCCTCGACTCTGTCAAAGATCCTAATCGTTCACCTCCAACCCCCTCTTTTCCTTCCATTAACCCAATCCCCGTATCCCCATCCTCTAATCAAACAAACTCTTACCTAGAACGTACGAGACCTTTATAACCCCTGGAAGAACATACCTACCTATCCCCTATACTCAAACTCCGACCTAAACCCTACATGATTCCAACATCTTCTTCTCGTATACCGACGAATTTCTTTTATCCTATACTCTAATACCTACCGATATTCAAAGCATATAAAATCACCACCTCCTAGTCGAAAATACCTATACTCCCCTACACTCTTTTTATAATTAGTATTTATGTAAATCTCCTCCGTAGCTAAAATAACCTTACTCTTGAGATCATTGTTAATAACAAGCCCTTCTTAAGCTGAAATCTCATCACATCCCAAATCCTCCATCTTGTTCATTCGCGGGAGGATAGAAGATATAATCCCAAAGTCGAGTCTCCTCCTACGAAGAAGGTCACGACATTGTATTATACTCCTTATTCCCTACTAGACAGACCCACAACAAAACTCTCATACTCGGACAAACAAGATCTACTAAACCGGAAATTATCAAAAGTTTACTTAGTATCGTAGGATATAAGTAAGGGGGTTTGATATCTAGTCGATCGCCCCTTAAAACGAGTCCTCAGACTGAAGGAGGTAGATTTCAACCAAAAGAACAACATCCACCAGCCTCACTCAATCCTCCCCATCTTCCCCATCCTCCCCCTCATCCCCATCCCCATCTCCCTCATCCCCCTCTCCCTCCTCCCCGTTCTTCTCCCCCTCCTCAACTTTCCCAACCTTCCCAACCCCCCCAACCCCCCTCCCAACCTGCTTCCTCCACAACCCCGCCAAAAACCCACTCGTACTCGCCTCCTCCAACCCTTTATCCTCCCTAGCCCTCAAAAACCTCGGAAATCTCAAACTCATCCCCCTCTCCTCCCCTCCCCCAACCAAACCTTTCCCAGCCGTATACGTAGGACTAAGAGTAACATCCGCGAACCCCACCTCCCATACTTCCTGCGGTTCAAACCACACGTCCGGCTCACCGATGTAATCTATATAGCTTGGTCGACTGATGATGTTACAACCATTCCCTGCCCCACCATCGTCTTCTTCTTCATCCTCGGGGTTGGGAGTGGGATTATATTTCTTCCGATTGGATTTATAAAATGCGTCCGAAAACCCCGAGATACATTTCGTCACGACTTCCAGACTTCCGGTTTCGGGGTTACGACAGGCGAGGAGGATGGGGGACCACCAGGCATGTTTACGTCCTTGGCCGTGCCAGGCGCCGACGGGGATGAGGTCGATGGTGTCGGTGAGGGTGTTGTAGTCCTTTTTCACTTTGAGCCAGGAGTCTAGACGTTTGTCGGGTTCGTAGGTGGCGAGGAGGGGTTTGCGACGAGTGGGGGGAGGTTTCTTGGAGGTGGTGTCGTTCTTCCTCTTAGAGGTGGGGGTTGATTTTGGGGGTTTTGCTGGGGGTTTGGAGATGGTGAGGTTGTTTACATCTTCCCCTTCTTCTTCATCTTCTCCTCCGACGTCCATGTCTGCTTGGAGGTCGGGGTTGGGGAGATTGTCCAGTACTTTGACCATGATGCCCTCGCACTTGATATCCGTAGCTTGCTTGAAAAAGGCGCTGACTTGGTCAAAATCGGCCGAGGTGGCATCCATACTTTGCACCCAGGTGAAGTGATTCGGTATCTCCACAAACAGACTTCGCAGCAAACTTCGTCGTTCCCGAAAGGGACGATCCAGCAGTTCCTCCCCATTGAGGTACATCAAATCAAAGGAGAAGAGACATACGTCGACCTTGACACTCTGCACCACCACGTCCTTTCTCGCTCGATTGGCCAGGATTTGAAAGGGTTTCAAATCTCCCGACTCTCGATCCACCGCCACGACTTCCCCTTCGAGGATGAAGCTTCTCACTCCTTCTCCCCGGATTTGAGGTACCAGAGCTACCAGATCGGGATACTTGTCCGTCATCAACTCCAGATGACGGGAGAAGATGGTGACCTTTCCTGCATCATCGCAATGGACTTGGGCTCGCTGGCCGTCGTATTTGAACTCGCAGGCAAAGTCCCGGCCGTTTAATTTGGTGAGCATCTCCCCCAAATCTCTCGTGATGCTTCCCAGCATAGGTCGTAAGGGGATATGCAGAGCGAGGCCACATCGGAGAAGGAGTTCGTCATCGATCCCAATCTCCAACAAAGTCGGGACGAGATCGTTGTAGTTTGGGCGTCGGGCGAAGCAGGCCTTGACCAATTCCTCTCCGTGAGAATAAGCCTCTGCCAGATCTTGCTTGTTCAGTTTGCGGAGTTCCGACTGTGGTCTTGTGGGGAAGGTGGCATTTGGGGGACGGGAAAGAAGGAAAGCTCTCGACAGTGCAATCAGCATGGTCGTCTTCACCGCACCGATTCGGAGATGCTGCACGAGAGTACGGACAATGTACCGGCTCTCTTCCGCACCTCGCGCGTCTTGGACGAGGCGCTCCACAATACGCTGCTTGACTTCCTGACTCCCTTGACCTGCACTCTTGGCGATTTTGAAAAGAGCGTCGTAGACACTTTTGATGGTGAGGGGCTTTGGTTTGCGCAGGGTGAAGGTCTGCCGCTTCTTGGCCTCAAAAGCAACATCTCCCGCGTCTCCATGTTTGTTGTACAGCGTCTTCAGGGAGGAGTTGTCCAGCCCACAGACCTTCTTCAAGGCCTTGGAAATGGCCGAGCCACCCAAACCGAGTTCTACATCGATATAAGGTGGGGAGATGGAGTTGGTGGCCAGCCAGACGGCGGGCAGTAACGAGTCGGGATCTCCTTCAATCAGCACTCGGAGAAGGTTGGTGAGGGTATCGACAATCTTGATGCGAGATTGGGTACTATTCACGAGAACGAAGCAATGGGTGAGGAGGGCATATGTTGCCAGGCCATCTTCGGCTGCCCACTGCTTCTTCAGGTCGGGAAGGTAGGTCTGAGGGTTGAAAGTGAGGGGTGATTCGTCGAAGGGAATGCTGTGGGATGTTGTGTCTTCATCTCCTGTAGCTGATTGTAGTGATAGGGTTCCCTTTTCCTTCTTTCCCATGCCCGCAAATGCATTCCTAGGTGGATTATCTTCCCCCTTTGCTGTGTCGTTGATTCTTGCATCCTCCACATGGCCATTTCCATGACCTTCTCCATTTCCATGAATATCTTCCTTGCTATGACCATCTCCACTGCCATGACCATCTCCATTGCCGTTGCCATTTACATTGCTCTGCCGCCCCATTTCCTCGGCATCCCACTCGGCCTGTAATTTGCGAGCCAATTGCTCGTCCGTCCATTCTTCATCGCCTTCATCCTTGACTATACCATCTCCTACCCTCYCAGATGCAACACCTTCCCCCACCTGCTCTTTCGCGGCCTGCTGATTTGCGCGTTGTTTGCCGAAGAAATGCTCCAAACTGCGAGCTGGCAAGGCATTACCATTATTCTGCTTCCGTCGCTTGTTGGGGGTGCTCATGATGGAGATGTGGGACCAACATTGGCCCGTTTGGATGAAAATGTCCCCCTCCACATGTCGGAAGCTCTACCTTAGCTTTGCCTACGTGATGGGAGGTGGGAGGTAGGGCGGGAGGAAAGCGCCGTCATTGTTTCTTGCCGAAATGACGCAATTCTGACAAATCAGCCGGCATTGGGGAGTGGAGCTCGCTAGGGCAGGTGAGGTACTCCTCTCGTCGTCGACATATAATAAGGAAGGTAGGACATGTTTGCGACGAGGTCGCTACCTTCTCTCCTCAAATCTCATCCCATTCCGACCATTCCGAGGCAGTGCACATATCATCCCTATTCCACCATCATGACATCTTCAATCCCCAGCACGCAAAAGGCGATAACGATCCATGGCAACGTCGCCAAGGTCAACAGCAATGTGCCCGTCCCGCAGGTCAAACCCACATATCTACTCGCCAAGGTGGATTCTATCGCTCTGAACCCGACGGATTGGAAACACATCAACGGGAAGCGGGCGGCGGAGAACGGCATCAGCGGCTGTGACTTTGCGGGAACGGTGGTCCAAGTGGGCGCTGATGTGAGCAAGCACTTCCAACCGGGGGACCGCATCGCCGCCACGACACACGGGGCCAATGCCAGTGAGCCCACGGATGGTTGTTTTGCAGAATACGCCCTCGCCAAGGCCGATTTGGCCGTCAAGCTTCCCGACTCCCTGTCGATGGAAGATGCTTCCACTTTCCCCCTCGGAGTCTCGACCGTGGGCCAGGGTTTGTTCCAAAAGGCCCTCAAGCTCAATTTACCCACCAATCCCACGAAGAAGGGAGAGACCGTTTTGATCTATGTTTGTCGCCCCATCAACACCATCTATTGATGATAGAATTGCACTGACCGTTGCACAGGGCGGTTCGTCGGCCACCGGTTCTCTTGCCATTCAATATGCCAAGCTCGCAGGATACAGAGGTATCACATCATGACTGAATCAAAATCTAGAATGATGTGTGGTATTGACAACTCCTCTCCCAGTCATCACCACGTGCAGTCCACACAACAACGATTTTGTCAAGTCGTTGGGTGCCGAAGCCGTGTACGACTACAAGAGCCCGACCTGTGGCAAAGACATCAACCGAGACACCAACGATTCATTGAAGCTGATCTGGGATACCATCTCCTTGCCAAACACCGGCAAGATCTGTGCCGAAGCCATCTCATCCGATCCCTCGGGCGCCAGATATGGCTCCATCCTGCCCGTCAAATTCCCAAAGGAAGGCGTGGAGACCACCATGACATTCATGTATACCATCTTCAATGAACCCTTCTCCAAGGCCGGTCGCGACACTCCTGCCATCCCCGAAGATTTCGAATTCGCCAAGGACTTCTTCGCCATTACTGAGAAACTCCTGGCCGAAGGTAAACTCAAGACGCACCCCGCAAAAGTCGGACCCAACGGTTTAGAAGGCGCTCTGCAGGGCATGAAGGATATGCAGAATGAAAAAGTGTCGGGAAGTAAGCTTGTCTACCGTATTCGGGACACTCCCGCAAACTCCCAAGCGGAGGTAGAGTACTAGAAATAGGTTGAAAGTCTAACCTTTTCCCTCGTGTTGTTGATGATATTGTATCCCCCATGAACGTTGCAAGCAGTCAATTTTCCAATTTCCATTTCCAACCCATTCATCACATCCGTCCACCTCCGACCCAAAAAACACTGGTTCGAATCTGCAGGTCAAGCTCAACGTTAGGGTTTCTGCAAGGATTCTCACGTCCGTACCAAGCCATCACAGCCATGTTCCCAGAAAACTCTCCACCTATTCCGCCGTTGTGTACCAAGGTACGTTCGCCGAATTTTACTGAAAAAACCCCCATTCACACACTGGTTGGGAAACAACAACTTTCCACAACCAACAAACACATGTGGCGAAGTTGAGATTCCCATTAATTCCATCCATCCATCCATCTCCTGACTGTCCCCCCCAACTTCGCCCGCCGGAAGTTTCACATTCATTCACTCGTTCATTCATTCATTCATTTATTTCATCGTATCACAGCATGTCACGACTTGTATTATTCTTCACTTTGATATCCTCTCTCCTCGTACACAACTGCGCGATAGCTGGACTCCTACCGCCCAAGCCGGAGAGCAACGATGGTGGTGGTGAAGATATAGCAGGTCATATCTCTGCTCGCCAATTCTTCGGCAATGGATTTAATAATAACAACAATAATAACAACAATGGGAATAATGCAAAGGAGGTCATGGATGGGCTGCACGCTCAATATGCCAGTAGAACGAGAGAGTTGATTGCAAGGAGTGGAGGGGCTTGTACTGCGGAGAATATTTCTGTGAGGAAAGAGTGGTGAGTACCTACCTATCCATCCATCCATCCAGCATAAGGGATTTTGGGGAAAGTAGTCTTTTTATACTGATTTGGTGGTGGTGTTGTAGGGGAAATATGTCGGCGCAAGAAAGAACGGCATTCATCTCGGCGCTTAAATGCATGAATACAGCACCTAGTAGATCACCCCGGGGACTCGACAATAATGCTCGGAATAGATGGTGAGTGATACAAGCACGTCAAGAAGTAGGAGAAGAACATCCACTAATGAAGAGCTATGTATCCACAGGGACGACTTCACCATAGCCCACAACATCAACACCCCCACAATCCACTGGTCAGGCCTCCTAATGCCCTGGCACAGACACTACCTCTCCGTCCTCGAAACGACCCTCCGMACAGAATGCAACTACGCCGGCTCCCTCCCATACTGGGACTACGCCAAATACCTCTCCCTCCCCCTATCCTCCAACCCCCTCTTCGACGGCTCCGCAACCTCTCTAGGCAGCACAGGCCACGGCCCAGGAAACTGCATAACAGACGGCCCCCTCACAGATTTCGTCGTCAACATGCCACCCCCCGACCCCTCCTCCTCCGCAAGGCAAAAAAACCCCCGATGTATAAAACGCAACCTCTCCCCAAACTCCGTTTTAGCACAATATGTTTCTTACGAACGCATGACTTCTGTGATAAGAGATTCAGAGGATATTGTGGCTTTTCATCAAGGATTAGAGGGGCCTGATGGGTTGCATCCACAACCGCATACGTGGGTCGGGGGTTTGCAGAATAATATCTATTTGGCTGCGCAGGATCCTTGGTTTTTTTTACATCATGCTATGATTGATCGCGTTTGGGTTATGTGGCAGATGGGGGATTGGGAGGGGAGGAAGGGGGCGTTGGATGCTGGGAGTTGGTTTGTTGATCGGGAGAGGTTGGAGTGTGAGTTTTTGTTCTTCTCCTTATTCATATTCATGCAGTTTTTTGGGAGATGATGGTGTTGTTTGGGGTTTTGGCTGACACTTGAGGGAAATAGTTGGTGCTTTACCCCCTGCTACGCTGGATACGACGTTGTATCTCTCGCCCATTTTTCAAAATGTTACTATTAGGGAGGCGATGAATCCTACGGGTGGAGCGCTTTGTTATATGTATGATTGATTGATTGAGGGATGATGTATACGGGTCGGGTTAGGAAGAGGAAGAGGAAGAGGAAGAAGAGGAAAAGAAAGAGGAAGAAGAGGAGGAAGAGGAGGAAGAGGAGGAGGAGGATGAGGAGGAGGATGAGGAGGAGGAGGATGAGGAGGAGGATGAGGAGGAGGATGAGGAGGAGGAAGAGGAACAGTTGAACTGATCTTATTCCTGTTCATGCATATACGTTGCACGCATACTACTGTCAAATCTCTCTAGATAATGAGACAAACCTTTTCTGTTGGACGGTTTCTTCGTGGAAGGAGTCTGTCCAGGGACGGTTTCTTCAGTAGCTGGGGAAAGGTAAGCAAGAATGATTGTTGCAATATTGGCATACGCCTCAGTATTGATGATCAAGGTATTTTCTGCGGACTTGCACATGAAAAAATAATATCACAAAAGAGAGGAAAGCTCCTCATCTGGTTTGCCGAGGTCAATCACATACGTACCTTACAGTGTAGGACCGGGCCGAGATCAATTGTGCTTCACTTCACGCTCATCTAAACCCAAACACCAACCAACCAGAGATATTTATTACTATCAAACTTAGAGTTCATCACAATGGCGTCCAAGTCGAATTCGACTTCTACTGGCCATGTTGTAGAATTCCACTACGATGTCAGTCAAATTGATCCTTTACATCATTCACATCAAACCGACTAACAGCCATAACTTWTAGATATCCTGTCCATTTGCATACATAGCATCCACCAAGTACGTAACAAACCCCAATCAACTCATCATATCCTTCTCATTCCTCACACAACCACTCTCTCTCTCTTCTAGAATCCAATCCCTAGCAACCCGAACCTCAGCAACAATAATCTACCGCCCCGTCCTCCTAGGAGCAATCTACCGCGCAACATCCGCCCCTCAAGGAGCAGCAGGTTCCGCCTCAGACATCTACAACCCCACGAAAAAAACACTCACCTCTCAAGCCTTCACCCGCACAATCCTCCGCCATGGAATCCCCTACAAAGACCCGCCTCAACATCCCATGAAAACAACCGCCGCTCTACGTCTCCTCTACTACATCTCCGAATCCGACCGTCCAGCTCTAACAGCAGCTTTATTCCGTGCTTACTGGGTAGAGGGAAAAAATATCACCCTGAAAAGTACCTTGAAAGAAGCAATCCAAGAATCCCACCTCTCGAATTCCAAAGAAATCCTGCAAGCCCTCGAAGATAATTCTTTCCAAGGTCCTAAACAACACCACCTCCTCGAGAAAGCCACCCAAGAAGCCATACAAAGAGGCACCCCCGGCGTACCAGCCTTCTACCTCCCCTCCGAAACATGGACCACCCACACCGGGAACCTTCGCAAAGGCCGATTATACTGGGGCCAAGACCGCCTCCATTTCGTAGAAGCAACCCTCCAATCCCTAAACCAAAACCACCCCTCCCTCTCCCCCGCAATCCCCCAAAAACTCCTCCATCTCCTCCCCCGCGTCCTCTCCCCCAGCAAATCAAAAATCCCCCCAAAAACCCACATAACCCTCGAATTCTACCACGACTTCTCCTCTCCCTGGTCCTATCTAGCCTGGACTCAACTTCCCCGTCTCCTCTCCCACTTCGGCCCCTCAAATTTAACAATCGTCCTCAAACCTTTTGTTCTAGGGATTTTATTTCGAGAAATCGGCGCGCCGGATACGCCGACTTCGGTCATGTCGAGGCAGAAACGAGAGTATATGAGATTGGATCATGGGGATTGGGTGAGATTTTGGAATGCCGTTAATTTGCAAGAAGGAGGGAAAAGGGAGGAGAGTCAAGTGGAGTTTTTTTGGGCGGAGGAATTTCCTATTCGAACGGTGGATTTATTGAGGGTTGCGATTGTTGAGGAGGGGGTTGTTGATTTACTTTGTGAGTTCCTCCTCTTCCTTTCTTTCGTCTCTTTCCCATTTTCACCCCCCCTTCTCCCTCTTACATTTGACAATTTTTGTGTTGCTTGATACTAACAATGATGCCAACCAAGACCGAGCATGCTGGTCCCAAAACCTAAAAATCTCCTCCCAAGAAWTCCTCCTCCAAGTCCTAAATTCCGCAGGCTACGACGCCAAAACCCTCCTTGAAAAATCACAAACCCCAGAAATCAAAGCAAAACTCCGCGCAAACACGCTCGAAGCCCAAAAATTGGGGATTTGTGGAGCACCGACTTATCGAATTTTACGCAAAACCTTGGGAAGTGAGGGTGAGGAGGAGGAGTGGAAGCAAGTGGGGGGATTGGTATGGGGACAAGATGAGATTTCTGTTGTGGAGGATTTGATTGCTGGGTGGGATGGGGAGGGGCTTGCTAGGGTTTGGGGGGAGGAAGAGGAGGGGAGGGGGAGGAGAGGGGAGGGGAGTAGACTTTAGAAATTTTGATCATGTATGTATGTATGTATGGTGCTTGCTGTCGATGGTGGGAACCTTAGTTTCTTCTTCTCCTTCCTCACTCAGAGACTCTCAACCGATGAGCAATATACTCAGTGATCAGCACTAGTAGGTACTGTAGGTAAGGTACTGTAGCAAAGCTGACATGAAACAGAACAAACAAAGCTATGTACTCGGGGAGGAAAACTCAATCGAATGAGGCAGGCAAGGTAAGCGAGTGAGAAATCGATCGGTCGTTCCTTCCTGCCATGTTATACATACATTGTGAATCATTCAAGGAAAGAGCACCAACCAACCATGACATGGTAATTGGAAGTGCAGACAGACATGCATATTCATCTACAAAGGCACGAAGAGAGTCATGTATTTTCCGTCCTTACTCAGCTGTGACCTGACCTCACATCCCCTGGATCATGGATGTATGTCGTCACGAACATGTAGACTCGACTCTCCTGTTCTTTCGTTGAAGCGAGCGACACAATCAAGAACTTCATGAGTCGCTCCAGGTGGAGAGAATTCTCAATCGAAAGCAAGGTCGTCGTTGCTTTTGCTGCAGGATCGGAGGATGCATGAACGAGTAGGAGAATACGCCATGATTCATTCGATTAGGAGAAGGGAAGGAGAACTGCTCTTCTTCGTTCTCACCTTCTCACTTTTCATCTTCTGATCTACTCATCTGTGCAGGTGGAAATTGATTGATTGGATTTGGGTTTTTTAGTCAGAGTCCGTCCATACACAACCCGCCAATAGTACAAATCACAATCAAGTCAGAATATTTGCTCGCGTTTCCTGTTATTTCTATGCATCGTCGTGGAGTCGGTATCGTCAGAGTTGGTTGGGTGGTGGCACATCATAGAGCTTGGAGGTCATGGCGCGGATAGGAAATGGCTGGTGGAGGAGAGGGTACCTGCATCCGACAAGCTCTAGTCGCTCGGATTGGCCACCTAGATGTCATGTTAGTACTCGACGCATTGATACTAGTTGTCGATGTGGACTCACCCTCAATATTCTCCTCGAGTAGTCTTGATTGTCGGCAAGACTGCCGACGCTGTCTCGTCGGCCGGCTTCGGGATCCAGTCGTGCGTCGCTCATGCCGCTGTAGCCGGTGGCGGGAGGTTTTCGCTCGTCGCCGCCGCGCATAAAGTCGTTGACTTGAGTGCGCTGCTTGAAATCCTCCTCGGCCGCGATTCTTCTCTTGCGGCGCAGGAAGAAGTAGACGCCTCCAATAATGGCCGCAATGGCAACCACGCCAACAACCACACCGGCGGCGATACCTGCAGTGTTGCCGCCGCCACCACCTCCTCCCGAGCTCGGGCTTCCGCTACCGGTGGCCTCGGCCGCAGCTGTTGCAGGTACCGTCACGACGACAGTCCTCCCCGCGTCTGTGCTGGTGACGACCGAGTTGGTGGTTTTGGATCCGGGGGATGGTGTTGCTTTTGCTGATGGTGATGCTGAAGATGATGAATCTGAGCCCGAGCCTGAGCCTGAGCCTGAGCCTGAGCCTCCGAAGTTGGTCACGCCGCTGTCTGTAGTGTAGACCGACCAAAGACCGTTTCCTCCACCTGTCCACCAGTTAGTTCCCACAATGTATTCACACATGACTCCCACACGCATCAACACGTACAAATATCCGAAGGGAATCCCGTGCAAGAAGTATCACACTCTGATTTGTCCACCTTGTCGTCCAGCGCTGGCAGCTGATCTCCACACCAACACGCATCGCCCTCGCTCATGGCGTAGACCTTGGAGCCGGAGCATTGACCACCGCAGTAGCCCGAAGACTGGTAGGGCCATGTGCCATCGCTGGTGAGAGGAGTCGAGGACTTGTAGCATCCTTCATATGATACSACGGCTCTGCGAACGGGCTCGACGGGTCCATCGGCGGGCGGCGCGGCGTGGACGACGGCGGAGAGGAGGGAGAGGAGGGCAAACATTCGGGCCGCGCGGAAAGACAAAGTCGACGGCATGGTGGCCTGAGCCAAGATTAAGGCGTAGAAGGGGGCCTGACGAAGGAAGTGACACTGTTGGTGGGGAAAGGCGCGAGTTAGTGGTGTCGGACAAAGGGAGGGTGCATCAATGGCATGTCGTGGTGTGGGTGATTGAGGAAAATGTGCAGGTGCAGTTGCAGGGATAAAGCGAGAGTGAAGGCGGCGAGTTGAGCGAGCGAGCAGCGGAGCGAAGCGAGGATGACGGGAGGGAAATTTGCGGTCGACGAACCTTTGTCTACGGCCAGCCGCAGGAAACAGCAAAGGAGAGACTCGCACGCGCTGCGAAGTGGACAATACCAGGCACAATGGGCCTCTCAATCATGCACCCACGCGCTAGATATGATGTGATGTGTGTGTTGTTGAGGTCGGGAAATTAGGGCGGACGAGGAGGAGTCGGGCGTGTCGAAGTCGGTCAGATGCTKCTGGCTGCGGGCGGGATGGCCGCTCTGCACTGCTCGGTGGGTGAATGGGATGTGTGAAGGTGCGCGTCGTCGTCGTCGTCGTCGGCGGCGGCGGTCGGGTGACTGGGGCTGGAATGCCGCAGGGTTGGTCGCACAGCACAGCACCCGCGCACAAAACGAGTGTGGGAGGAAGGGCACGGCAAGGTGAGGTCGTCAACGGGTGGATGTATGGTAATGAATGATGATGAAGAAGAGCGCAGACACACGCGCACACGATGGACAAGACGAGGCAGACAAGACAGAACTAGTGAGAGAGTGGATTGGTGTGGTGTGCTGGTGGACGACGGTCGACTTGCTCCCCCGGGCGGGTCAGTGTGTTGCGAGACGGGAGACAAGCAGAGTTAGTTGGCGGCGGGTGCACAGACGCATCCTCACTCATCAAAGCGAGAAAAAAGCCAGCCCATCCCATCCTCAACCGGCCAAGGAGCCGCAACTCTTTGCACAGTACCTGCAGGGCCCGTGCATCGCGCGAGAGTTAGGAGGCGACTTAGGAGGCGAGTGGTGATTGGATGCGCGTCACGCCGTCGGGCTAGGCGCAGGACTCCTTGGCCCTGAAACGCGTGTCGTCCACGATTCCTGCATTCTTTCCCATCGCGCGACCATTTGCGTTGTTTGGTCCGTTGCGGAGGGAAGAGTGGATGGGGGAGATGCATCACAGTGCCCAAGGTACCATCTGTTCCATCCCCCTCCCAATTCTGTCTCAATTCAGTCATGTCTGTGGGGGGAAATGGGGATGAGGGTCTCGGCGAAGCACACTTCCTCCATGAATCGTCCGGCGGTCGGCATTCGGGGTGCCCCCAAGCCGTGTCATGAGATTGATGTGTAATATCAACAGCCTGTCCTGTCCTGTCCCAAACGGGCGGCCCTGTTCGGCTCGCAAACACTAAATCTGTGCAAGCGACGGGAGCCCGTTGGAAACAATAATAATAACCCAACGTCCGCATCTCCAACCATCACCTTCCTATCCCTAACTTACCCACAGTCTCCTCCACAATAATCACAGACGTACTCTACCTCAGTATAGACGGAAACGAAACGTTGAAATGCAGGAGTATCGCCGGCCAGAGTCCAGTTCCTCTCTTGCAGCGGCGCGTTTCGCATTTCCCGTCTCCCATCGGATGCAAGCTCTAGGTCCCGCCAAGCCGCCCAGCTTCGTCAGTCAGCGCTTGCCTCGCGTTTCATCGGCAGCGGCAGCGCGCGCGCGAACACGAATGCATGACAGCATGCAAGATGGAATCTTTTGTTCCCTCGCTCCTTCCATTTGAGTATTGAGGTGTACCGTACATGCAGAATGGCGGGCAACACGATGCGACCGACCTAATGCAAAACATCAAGCGATTCGTGCCTGCTCGACCAACTGGAATTCAGCTGTCGAATCGTACACGATTACGTGCAGTTATGTATACCAAGTACGAGGTACTCCGTACTCCTTCGTTCCTTGCAGGAGGTAGGTAGGTAGGTACATAGTTACAACACCTCCCCACATGCTGCGGTTGAGAGGAYGGGAGAGCTGCACTTTTCTCCTCCTCCTCCCAGAGCTTGCATAAGGTTTCCAAAGCTACCTTACCTCTCAACTTCCAGGCAGCAGCAGCGTGGCCCGCCCAACAAGTAGGTACTCAACCACCATTCAACAACATACATCCCAAGAATTACCATCTGGCATGGCATGTCATGTGGGAAGATTTTTGCACGTGTTGTAGGATTCAATCTCACGGTGAATCCATGGCCCGATCCTATGTTGTTTTTAGCTTGCTCTCTCTCTCACACACAGACATGTGATATAATAAGCCAGAACTAGAAGTCACATCCCTTTACTACTATACATACCTACACACCTTCCTGCAGTCCACCTGCCCACCACATACCTTACAGCCTGCCTAACGTTTCCCTGCAGAAAACCTTCAAAGAGCCAAAACCATCAATGATCAAAAAAAATTAAGGCTTCCACCCGAATCTTCCAGTCCATCCCCGGGCATGCAACCCCATAGATCCATTCCAATGGTACCTACACCAATATATTCCATCCAGTCCCGTCTCCCGTCCTTTTCTCTCCTCTTTCCCAAACCGGAAACTACAACTCAGTGCTAGAACTATGGAAGTAGGGAAGAAGTGGCGTTTCCCTCCCTCCAGAGCCTAGACTCCAGACATGCATAACCTACCTACCTACCTACCTACCTACCTACCTACCTACCTACATACCTACATACCTACCTACAGAGCAGTGGAATTCCATCCATACATTCATACACATAGAGCTGTTCATTTCATCACAAAGAGCACAGGAGCGAGCAATGTCTTCTTTGAGATATATGAAGCTCAGATATCGCGCTATCTGAGACGTCGAAAACAGACACAAATGGGCGGGTTTTCCCCCATCATCAGTCAATTTCTACATCAACCTTTCCTTTCCCTTTTTTTCCATCCATGCATCCTCATCAACAATCATCATCATCATTTTCATGATTTCCATCATTTCCACACCTCATCACTTCCACACCGAACATCCATGCATACCCATCGATCGGCCGACGATGAATCTAGAATCCGAACTTGGACTTCAAAACTACAACACAATCCCACAAAGTCAGCAAAAGCATCATCAACATCATCACACATGGACGACAAGAAATAGAGAGGGCAAAACTTACTAGAACCCGCAGCATTCCTCTTCTGCCTCCCCACAAATTTATTAACATCCTCCAACCAATTACTACTATTCTGCTCCAAATTCTCCATGTTATCCCCCACAATCCCCAACTTCTCCGTCCGCTCCGCCAATTGTCGTTGCATATATCCCCAATATCCCTCCTCGTCCCCTGTTGCAGTAGAAGTAGAAGCACCAGATCGCGCAGTTTGACGTCTCTGTTCCTCCTCCGATCGAGCCTGCGCCACCATTCGTTTACTCGGAGGTCGATCCGTCCCACCAATCAGAATATCCATATCCAAAGGCGTGATGTGTTGGGTGCCTGTCAACCATTGCACGTTGGAAATCGTGGGACGGGGGGGAATTAATCGTTCAGGACTGAAGAGACGGTCTTGACGACGATGTGAAGATTCTCCCGTTCCCCAGATTGTCAAGAGAGCGATTTCGCTGGGTCCTGTAAAGGCGAGAATGTTTCCAGTGGGAGTGATGGCCGCGCTGCCGAGACGTCGGATGTCAAGGCCTGAGCCGCTGTTGTTGATGTCGAGGAGGTCGATGGTGGCGATTTCCCGAAGTTGGGGGAGGGAGAATGCGCGGGCTTTTCCATCCCCAAACAAGCCGAGGAGGGCGTAGCCTTGGTCTTGATAGCGGACTACACCCGCGCAGTCGCAGAAGTAACTGTCAAAGGTCTTGTGTGCGCCTTTGGAGGTTGCGGGACGGAAGAGCGAGATGTTTGTTGGAGTGACGACTAGTAACGCCCCGTTGACTTTCAGGCCCGTTCGTAAGTTGCCCATGGCGTGTTGGGAAGCCGTCGCGGGCTTTCCAYTGTCGGCTGACATGGGCGCAATGTACATCACTCGACTGCTATCCAACGCAACATGGCCGGCGAATTGAGTCGTGTAGCGGCCGCTTGGGTCGGGGATGATCTTGAAGGTTGCTAGGTTTCCTTGATTGGTGCCTACATGTAGGAGGATGGAGCTGTAGTCGTCTCCTTCCAGCGACATGATGCTGAATTCCACCTCTGTTCCCCATTCGGGCTTGCCATCACTGGAGCTACTGGCCCGACGACGGAGACTGCTGGTTTTGYGACCCTTGGCAAAGTCCTGTACGGAAGTGTTGAGGATGATGGCAGGGCCTCTCAAATCGATCAACACAACGCTGCCACCTTCGAATGCTGCAGCGGCAAAGCCAATCTCGCTCATACATACCGCAGTGRCGGGGCCGTCCTGTTGATCCAGTAGTGTAAAAGGACAGAGACCTTCCGAGAGGGAGGGCTCGATGCGATCGGTGATGCTTGTAAGCGCTTTGGGTTGATTTTGCTTCACAGTACTTGACTCTCGGCCGGGAGTGCGATTAGTACTCCATCTGAATATCACCACCTCGCCGCTGCGCATCCCAACTGCTAGTTCACCGCTGGGTCCTGCGAACGAAACGGCTGTTACGGCGATATTGTCCCATCGGCCGACGGCACGAGCAATGTCCACTTGTAGCACCTTTTCATTTTCAATCTCATCGCCATGACCGGGGTCCCAAAGTCGGACGGTCCCATCGGCATGAACGGTGTGGAGGATGCTTCGACTCTCGTGCCGTCTCAAATGGCTGGGCATTTCGCTACCGCCTTGGAGGATTGGTGGACCCTGTTGCCGGCGTTCTTGCAGACCCATCCACTTCTCACGCTGMACCTGCGTGGTGCCGAGGGATTGAATGAATGGGTGCACAAAGGTGAGAGAAACGTGTAATTGATTGGTCGGGCTAATGGGCATGCCGGAAGGGAATGAGAGTGATAGCATCTCCCCCGAGGAGAGGAGAGCAATGACGGCAATGGGATCGTGCGCGCCAGCAAAGTGGGGCGATGTTCGAGGGATGAGACAGTAGTCGACCACTTCTGCACCTGGAGGCGTAGGGAGGACTCGCTGCCGCTTTGGAGCATCAAAGTACGCGGCCAAAGTCTCCCATGCAGACGTCGCGTATACTGGCGTCCTGCCCATTTCAAACAGCGTGAGACCTTTGGTGGGAGACTGCGTGGATTGGCCTCCTGCGATGAGGATGGCGGTATCTTCTGGGTCCTGGGCATTGGGACACCAGGACATTTTAAATAATGGCTCTTTGACAGCAAATGTTCCCGGGCTCGCTCCAATGCTACCAGCCACTGCTCCCGGCGTGGCAATGTTCGTTTCTGTGAGAGTCCTGGCCATGAGCATTCTGCCGTCCTTGATAGTATCCCAAAACACAATCGAGCTGTCTTCGTGTCCTGTCATGATAAAGGTTCCCGTAGGATGCCAGACGGCTTGGGTGAGCTTCGGTCGTCGGATGATGTTCGTCGAGGTTGGGTCCCCATCGCCTCCGGGCGCTCCCCGCGGCACTTCATATTGGAAGAACTTCAAAGCTTTGTTGAGTTTGAAGCTGTAGATGACCGCTCCATGCGTATATCCAATCAACAGAGTTCCGATATCCCTGGGGTGGAATTGCAACGATACAATCGCTACAGTTCGAGCTCTCGGTTCCACTTCCTGCCAGAGATTGGGAATGCGAAATGGAGCGACACTCTCCCGGTCCATGTCGAATGCGAGGATGTCGCCCGTCTGCATTCCCAGCAAGGCATAGTCCAGCATGGGATCACTACAGAGGACAGTCACTACACCGGGGGGTGAGTGGGAAGTGATCAACCTCTTCAGTTCAATGCTGTACATTGACACATCGTGCTTCGAGTCCAAGCAGATCAACTTCTCGGCACAGAATTGCAATGTATGAGGGCTTGCTCCGCGTGCAGCGATTGGCAAGATTGCCTGTATGCGACCCTTTCCAAACAGATAGATCTGACCCGGTCCGAATTGGGAGGATTTGGTCCCGACGGCAAGGAGAGATTGAACGGGATCATACGCCATGCATGAGACTTGGGAGTTGACTCCATATCGAGCCAGGTCATCAATGGCGAATTGGTCGGCATGTAGTCCGGCGCTGAGATCATTTTGTATGCCCGCTTGCTTTCCTCGCAGGAGATGGGCCATGTCGGAGCTGTGAGATGGAAATCCGAGCTTACCTTGCCATACGAAAGATGACAGACCAGATCAGACCAGACAAGCTGTGGATGTGGAAGTGGATGTTATGAACCTGATTGTTCCATGTATCGCACATGCCAAGCGGCAGAYGTTTGTTGCTGTCGTCAGCAGGCCTGGCTGGCTTGGAGCAGGTGTGGGTCCCGTCGTTTTGTTTCGTTTCGGATGCGTCGCATGTCGTCGCCACTACTTTTGCACGCCACTCTCCCTCGACGCGAGGTAGGCGCGTAAAGTCGCGATGGATGGCGCAAATCCAACGCTGCTCATCTCTTCATCAACATCGGCAAAAACATACAAAGAGTCCTCCAGTCTCGACGGATAATTGGCCACCTTGTCGTAGAGATCCATCAAGACTCACTTTACTCCAAAACCATGGCGACCGTTTCCCTCCTCAATGTGACGGTGCGAAATAACCCCGCGGCCTTCAACTCGCCCTACGAGTTCGAAATCACCTTTGAATGTCTGGAACCGCTTCAAAAGGATCTGGAGTGGAAGCTTACCTATGTCGGATCCGCCACATCGTAAGTCTCAATATTATCATCCCTCGACTCTCCGCCGCATGTCAACATTCGAGCGTGGGATAATGACTTCGAGAGGAAATCCAGCTAATCTAGATGTTTTCCACAGCTCCGAACACGACCAAGAGCTCGACTCGCTACTGGTGGGCCCAATCCCCGTCGGCGTGAACAAATTCATCTTCGAGGCCGATCCGCCCAACACTGCACGCATCCCCGGTACCGACATTCTCGGCGTCACCGTCATTCTGCTCTCTTGCTCCTACGATGAGCGTGAGTTCGTCCGCGTTGGCTATTACGTCAACAACGAGTATGTGGATCCTTCCATGAACGAAGAGCCCCCGGCGAAGCCCGAAATGGACAAGATCCGTCGCAATATCCTGGCCGATAAGCCCAGGGTCACACGCTTCCAGATCAAGTGGGATTCCGAGGAAAGTGCACCCAGTGAATTCCCTCCGGAACAGCCCGATGTAGATGCTCAGGAGGATGACGGCGCCACCTATGGTGCCGAAGAAGAAGACGAAGAGGAAGGGGCGGTCGAGGTGGAGGAGGGAGCAGCAGTGGCAGCGAAAGCAGAGGGAGAGGATGTGGATATGGAAGGTGCCGACAATAGCAACACAAACAACACCAAGGACGAGGGCGAAGAGTCCGACGCCGGAAGCGAAGATCTCGAAGCCGAGAGCGAAGATGAGGATGAGGAAGATCTGGAGGAGGAGGAAGCAGAGGGAGACGACATGGAGATGGATGAGCCCGTCCAACAGCAACCGCAAGAGCAGCAGCAGCAGCRAGCACCCGATGTGATGGTTCGCTAGGACAGGAAAGTTGGATCACAGACCCTCTCCAAGCTGTATGCAGTTTGAATCGTATCAAGCGGCTTGTTGTATGCATCAGAATGTGGGCAATGATGGAGATGAATGTTGGTTGTCATGTCAATGTTGAGCATTTTACGTATACCCTTATGATGACCTTTGGACGTGAGCAGCGTCTTGAACTTGACATCTCTTCTACGTTGTACTGTTCAATTATGATGAATCGCCTACCCCGAGCGTCCAAGGGATGAAGAAGTTGAGGATTGCCGTCCTATCTAGAGCAGTAACCTAGACATGTTGTGCGTTTTGCGATGACGACAACACCCCCAAGAAGACGATTCTCGAAAAAGAGATTCACCTGTCTGCAAGACTGCTTTGATAAATGTTAACAAGCACTGTTGTCGATTCACTAGGTACATGCAACCTTCAATTTCGGAGAATAAATGACTAAGCATTGAGAAAAAGATGTCCAACTTCAGCTTCAACGTCACAATCCAAGAATGGCAACAACGTCAACAACAAGCATGGAAACCGAAAACCCGAAGAAGCGAAAGTTCGAGCACAAACCAAACAAAAACAATGCCCTCGCAGTGAAGAAGATCAAATTACTGGAGAATCGCAAGCAGCTTCCAATCTGGAGCCAAGCCAAAAAGATCCGCGCTGCCCTCCGAGAGAACAACGTACTGGTACTATCCGGAGAAACAGGTTCTGGAAAGTCTACCCAAGTTCCTCAATTCCTACTCGAATCACCATGGTGTCTCGGCAAGATCGCTGTCACGCAACCGCGTAGGGTGGCTGCTATAACACTGGCCAGGCGTGTCGCCGAGGAAATGGGGTCTCCTCTAGGATCAGCAAGTCCGGCGAGCAAAGTCGGGTACAGTGTTCGTTTTGACGACAATACGAGCGCTGGAACGAAGATCAAGTACTTGACCGAAGGTATGCTTTTGCAGGAAATGCTACGGGATTCGAGTATGAAGCAGTATAGCTGCATCATCGTGGATGAAGTGCACGAACGGAGTGTGGATGTCGATTTGCTTTTGGGATTTCTCAAGGGCCTCCTCAACGATGAAAGGAGGGTTGATAATCCGCTGAAAGTTGTCATCATGAGTGCGACAGCGGATGTGGAGAGCATTTCCACCTTCTTCCAAGACACGGCAAAGGTGGCGCAGTGTCATGTGGAAGGACGACAGTACCCTGTCAAACTGGATTACCTCAGTGAGCCTGCCAAGGACGTTTTCGACGATGCTCTCCAGCGCATCTTCAAAATTCACTGCAAGGAGCCCATGCCTGGTGATATCTTGGTATTCCTCGAAGGACAGGAGCCAATCAACAGCTTGAAGAAGCAGGTAGAAGAGTTTGCGGAAAATCTGACCACGGACTTTCCAAAGATGCTTGTYCTGCCACTATACGCAGCGTTGAATCAAGTAGACCAGCAGCGCATCTTCGAGCGAGCGCCACCCAACACGAGGAAAGTCATTTTATCTACGAACATCGCCGAAACTTCCGTGACAGTCCCTGGCGTCAAATTTGTCATAGACACTGGTAGAGTGAAGATCAAGGAGTTTCGCAATCGCCTCGGGCTGGATTCGCTTCTCGTCAAGCCCATTTCAAAGTCTTCGGCGGATCAACGAAAAGGTCGTGCGGGCAGAGAGCAGGCTGGACAGTGCTTCCGATTATTCACAGAGCAGGGCTATGAGGGACTGGAGAAGGATATGAAGCCGGAGATATTACGCTGTGATCTCAGTAGCGCACTGCTGAAGATGAAAGCAAGAGGTGTCGAGGACGTGCGCAGCTTTCCCTTGCTCACGCCTCCGGCTGACGAAGCCATTGACAAGTCTTTGAGACAGCTATGCAGACTTGGCCTGTTGAATGAGAGTGACGGAAGCATCACCGAGATTGGACACAAAGCCGCACGTCTACCACTTACGCCCTCACTCGCACGAGTCCTCCTGGAAGCCGCTCGACCGGACAGAGACTGTCTGCTAGAAGTCATTGACATCGTAGCGTGTCTCAGCGAAGAAAACATCTTCATCCACGTCGACACAGAAGAAGCTCGCGAAAAAGCCCAAGAAGCTCGCTCACAACTCCACCGTCGACAAGGAGACCATCTCACCCTCCTAGCCACCGTGCAAGCCTACGCCGCAGAAACCTCGGATCGCAAACGCTGGGCATACGACCACATGGTCTCTCACCGCGCCATGCGAAGCGTCATGGACGTGCGAAAGCAACTCACCGCCCAATGCAAACACTTACTCGCCAAACCCACGGTGCGGTTAGCAGCCGATGAAGCAACTCAGGAGAATATTCTGAAATGTTTCCTGCGCGTCTCATATCCGAGTCGTATCGCTCGTCTGTGTCCGGATAAAAGTTATAAAACTTTTGACGGGAATCATACGCTGGCTATTTTTCCGAGTAGTGTGTTGCTTGGCAGGAAAGTCGAGGCGGTTTTGTACAATGAGTTTGTTTATACTAATAAAACTTATGCTAGAGGCGTTAGTGCTTTTCAGCTTAAGTGGTTGGAGGAGATTATTTGAATAGGACGGCGGGATTTTTCAAGGCTCATGGAAACATGGAATCGCCGCTTCTGCTTGGAGTATTGAATCGATGGAAATTTCTCGTGGATAGGGAGGTAGGTATAAATATAACAAGCAGCTGTTCTATGGAGAGTCTAATAAGGAGGATCGAAGAGGGCGCCCTACACTTCCCAGTGTCAAGAAATCTTCCCTACTTAAATCATTGGGAAATTCCCGTTTTGCTGAATCCTTCCCACGGAAATTGTGGAAAGACGTCGAGCACAGCAGAAAGTCCCTCGTCAAGCTTCAACACCAATTCGAATGCTCTTCCGCTGGGCCATCATTCGATACTGCCAAGTTCGGATGATAGCACGATGTAGTACCAGTCCCTGAGAGGAGGCTGATTTCAGGGTACAGGACGCCATGGTTTCAGAAGATCCATACCCTAACATCAGGGATGTAAGCCTGGCCGTCGAAGTAGCAGTAGTCCGGGAAAAGAAAATCTGTGGCGCGATGAGGATGATATGCATACATGGAAGGGATGTGGTAGTCATCAGTCGATACCTGCACCATTGAGTAGAATTTTAGCCGCTCCACGAGATTCGAGTTCGTACACGTCCTGAACACCACCAGGCGTGATGTACAGCGTTTGGTCCAGTTTTTGATCACCAATCTTCCATCTCCAGTCTGCTCCGCCGGAGGAATGATTACACTCGCTTGATATGCTGCAATGATCCACTGACTGTATTTGAGCATTCTGGTGTGAGTCGGGCAAAAGTTTATGGTGTGTTCAACAGGTCTTACCAGTGTACTATATTGAACCATCATGGCTTGGGTGGACCGCTGGAGGTTGCTTCTCGGATCTTTCAGGCCTTGTTAGCCAAGAGTTCGGACGCTGTGAGCAGTGGAACAACGAGAGAGAGAAAGAGCTGGTCAGGATTAGATTTATCCCAGTGTGACGCCTCCAACGAAGACACGATATTTCCATGTTTATTTGAGTTGGTGAGAGAAGATGTTTGACATTCGGAAGTCGCAATACGTCCATGTACCACCGATTTGATAGCCAAAATTCCATCCCCACTCGGTTTTCCAAGTCTTCCAAATCACGATCCTACTCCTCCCCCTCCACCCTCTCTGCGTCCCTCATAGGACAATCAACACTTGTCCTTCTTTCCAAAGACGTTGTAGGTAACCTCTCGAACGCCATTGGAGGCCTTGTCAATCGTGAAGGCGGGACTGTAGTAGCCACTACCATCGAGAGGCTTGATCTTCGTGTTCTTGTAAACAAGATCTTTGAGAAGATCAAGGAAAATATCTTTCTCGGCTCTGAAAGCATCAAAATTGTTAGTACACACATCAACATCAAAAAATGATACTGGAGATCCTGCTTACTGGGTTAAAGGAGGTGGGCTACTCTTGCCGATAATACAACCATCAATGTCGCCAATTCCCGAGCTTCCGGTGCATCCATCGCCTTGGGCCGTGGGAAGGCAGTCGATGCAGCAGGCACCGCCGTTAACGCGACGCTGTAGGATGGCATCGACGTCCCAGATCCAGGCCTGGTCGAGGGTCGCTGCGTTGGACGCGGAGCCACCGGCGTTGTAGCAAAGGGAATAGATGCGGCCGTCCTTTGTGACGGTCTGCGCTTTGTTGTAGGGGGCGCCTCGACTGCCTGTAAGACAGGTCGGGTCCCTAGCCTGGACTGAAATCGCCAGGAGGGCCACTCCGATGAGGGTTTTGATGACGGCYATTGTTCGATGCTGTATTCTGAGGTGTGGAAGTGTTTTCTTGTTGTGGGTGATGATGTTGGTGTGGTTTGGATTGATTCTCAAGGGCATGGAAACGCTGCATACTTGTAGATAACCATCAGAGCAATGGTGGGCCGCATCTATCGTCGAGTTCATGTTTATGACATTGGCCTCTCAACTCATCCCTTCAATGATCCTCGATTGCCATCCCAAAAAGGCAGGGCATGTGGAAAGCCCTGGACTTGGCAGCACTATGAACTGCATGGTGCGGGCAGGATTAGGGATCAAAATCTTGTTCTGATATCAACGAGGCGTAGGCACCGTCTGTGTTTGGTCGCGGCTCGACTGGAGGACGAGACTGGAGGACGAGACTGGAGATAAGCCAACAAATAGCGCATGGAATTAGCAGCTCTCAGACGGAGGTGATCCTGCCGGACAATTTACATCCTTCCGAAGTCAAGCATCGATGAGGCACTCGCTGCGCACCTGGACCAAGTTCTAGAAGATACTCACCCTCCCGCGACCTGGTAGCTCGACAGACTTGGCCAACGTGAGGGAGCATGCAAAGCATCTGTGAAGTCATTCGCTCCAGGCGCTAATTCCTTCGCGCTAGCGAGGCAACGATTCCTTCGTGCTAATATGGCACAACTGTCCTTCATCTCACGGCAGGGCTTGAGTGCGGCCATCCTTGGTGAGCGGCAGCATCCGAGATGGCTGAGATGGCCTCCCATCTGTATGTACACGATGGTGTCTCGAAGATCCACCACCACGTTGCTGGAAGCCTAGATCCACCGGCTTCCAAGACAGAACATGRGATGAACATTGGACCGCTTTATTCGGTCCAGGCACATAAAATGAGAGGAAGACTTGCCTGCCAGCATTGTCCTCATCAACGTATGCGGCTGCTGCTGCAACGGTGCAGAGAAAGTGTCAGGTGGAACTGGGCGGAAGCACAGACTTGCATTCTGGCCATTGTGGCTTGTTAAGACTTGGTCGAAGCGTGTGTAGATAGAAGGATGTACCTGCTACGGATCAGTAGCCGTCTTGAGGCATCATGCTATTGACAGTTAGTAGGGGAAAGAAGACTAACATCATAGCATGGAAGTTCGTCTGGAGAWATGTGTCGGCTACGGTGCGCTTTTACGGAGATCTCTGCAACAAAACTTTGAAGTAATAGCGCAATACTAGCAGCAGGGGGTATAGTAACCTCGGCAATAATTAATAAACTCCGTATAATAATAATTAAGTAGCGTGATCGAATGTGCGCATAAGACTAGTATATAATTGCCTTATATTAATCTTTTCTTAAGTAATTACCGCGTAATATAGTAAGGCATTAAAAATAATAGTAAGGTAGTTATAGCATTACTTTTAGGAGTAATGCTATTTATACAGGTGATTAATAGTAGGCGCGACGCTTTACTATATTTACTTACCTATATATAGTCGACTCTTATCGCTTCCTAATATCTACTTTTACATCTCCTACTACTTCTACTACTAAATATCTACCTTCCTCCTCCTTCCTTCCCTACTACCCCGTATAATTAGTAATAACCGCGTTACTACCTAGATGCGTAGACCTTTACGAGTATTAGCGTGTCGCCGTCCCCCCGACCGACTTAGATAACCTAGATAATATCGGCGACTACGCGTATCTTAAACTAAATAAGGATAGGGTAGGAGTTAAAAATAAAACTCTTTAGTAACCGCGCTAACCCGTATAAATAGCTTAAGGAGGCTAGCTTTACTCTTAGCGCGGATTAGACGTACATAATAGGTTTTAAGGCAAAGTAATATATCTCCTACTACGATAGTCTATTTAAATAGATCTTTAATATTCGGGATCGCCCTAATTACATTAACGCCTTCCTAGTTACGAGCCGGTTCGTATAATCTATTTAAGAAATTATAGGAGTAGAGATATACTAATAATGTCGTAGTAGCAAAATTAAGGCGAAGGGAGATAAGTATAAGGATTACGAGCAAAAAATTAATAAGAACGATAATACGGGCTTACTACCTAGCTTAGGACTATTCGTAGTATGTTTTTCTAGCTAGTACAAATGTTTTTAATACTAACGGGAAAAGGAATACGTCGTCTAGGAGGGATTTCTTAACTCTACCTACGCTAGCTATATCTAGAGGGGTTGTAAAAATACCTACTAGTAGAGCGATACGTTTATAAAGGAGAGAGAGACCTATAAGGGACCTAGCTAGTATAAAGGCGATTTATATAAAGCGTAGGATAGTATAATACGAACTCGTTCGTATTATAAGGATTAGTCGATAGGGCTAAGGCTAGGCTAGGATAAGAAGAGAACTACTTAGGATAAGAGGTCTAAGTCTCGGTCTCGGAGTAGATCGAAGGAAGGAAGGAAGTAAGCTTTAGGTAGTATAATTTCTTTTACGAGTTTCTATTTAGAAATCCTAAATATCCTTAGGATATTTAGGATATTTTAGCTCCTACCTATATAGGTAAGTATTTCTTATCTCTACTTTATTCTCCTATTCTATTTAATATTTACTTTTAATATATTATACGGCCTCTATTACCTCTTAGAAACGGAGAAGGACGCTTAATCGTATATAGTTTGTTATATGTTATATTATATGTTTAGCTTTTAGTTACGGCAAAGTAAGTAATTACGTACGTAGAAGTATAAGCAAATAACTACGCGCGCGGTCTATTAATAGTTTGTATAGGTAATTAATAGCAGGCGCGACGCTTTACTATATTTACTTACCTACTCGTAGTCGACTCTTATTACTTCTATTCTATTAATATTAACTACAACTATAATACCTACTACTACTATAACTTAATATCTACCCTCCTCCTCCTTCCTCCCTTTATATCCCGTATAATTAGTACTCGCTACGACGATGCCGCCTAAACCCCTATTTAACCTACTCTTACTCGATAGTAGTCCTACTAGTAGTATAAGAACTCTCGATGCTCGGAAAAATAAGGTAAAAAGCTACGGTAATAAATAAATGGTTTTAGCTATAGTGCTAACCCGTATAAATAGCTTAAGGAGGCTAGCTTTACTCTAAATAAGGAGCAGACTAAGCTAATAGAAGATAAGGCTAGCTATTAATTCCCTACTCGGCTTACGACATTCGATCCGGCGACTTAGATTTATAATCGTTATAGCTATATTAACGCTATATTAATTTAGAGCCGGTTCGTATAATCTATCTAGGAAATCGTAGGAGTATAACCGCTAATAATATAATAGCGGTATAATATATCCGGATAAGCGGGGCGTAGATAGTAATAGTAAGGAGATAGATCGAGATAAGTAGTATTAGCGGTGTTAGGATTAGCCTCGACACTTTATAGTATACTATCCTAGCCCGTACAATTATATTAAAAGCTAACGGGAAAAGTCGTGCGTAGTCTTAAAGAAGAGCTTCTATAATATCTATAGTAACTATAAGTTCTAAGATAAGGCGTATAGCTTCGACGTCCGCGACTACTAGGATAATAGAAATAGCGATCTAGTAGCTCCCGTAGAGCGTATAATTCGGCAGACGAGGTCCGGGCGTTTAGCACCCTATAAGCGTATAGAAATAGTTAAGTATAAGTAAGGTAGAGAGATTATCGGGCAAAGTAGAGAGATCGTCGGGCAAGTAGGAGTTATTAGGGAAGTAGGAGTAATTTAGTAGAGGAGGCCTACTTTTATACGGGGTGTTCTAGGCGTAAGAAGTTTTATTTAGAGCGTAAGTATAGTCTAGGAGTATAAGAGACTACTTTATATATTTTTATAACTTGCGACTTATCTTGCTACTTATCTCGGCATCTATTATTATCTTTTGCATATTTAACACGCCCGTACAACTATATTCTATTAATAATATATACTTATTCTATCGTACCTACTTTTGTTAAAAATTATACTACCCTAACCCGAACCCTTCCTCTAAAATTTCTAACCGAGGCTTCCCTTACTACCTATTCTATTTATCGTTTTTCCTATTAACGTTCTCCTACATTATACGCGCGGTATTTAAAATAGGCCGCTTACCTATAGTTCCCCTCGACCTATATCCTAAGCTCGTAGAGCTCTAGAATAATAGCGTAAGTATTGCCGATATCTAAGCCTACCTAAGTTCCTAAGGCCTTACGGCCTCTAAACGTACTATCCGTATAATTATCGTAAATAACGGCGGCGAGCCTCGATAGGCGTTAAAGAGCGATACCTATAATAATCCGTACCTCCGAATATAAATCGCTAAACTCTTCTACCTCGAAAAGCTACCTAACGTATATATTATAGAGACGTTAAAGGACGAGGGCTTTACGATAAAGCCGGATACCTTTATACGGCTAAGGAGGAGTATCGGAATAAAGCTACAACTACGGGAAGTAGAGTTTTATAAGCGCGAAGAAGAGTATAAAAAGATAGTAAGGAAGGAAATCGATCGTTTACGTCTTAGGTTATATAGTATAAATTTGCTTTAAATATACTTCCGTATAACGGATAGAACGAGGCTCGCTCTCGGAAGGTAAGTGCATATATGCCCTTTACGAGGAAAGGGGTTTCTACCTAGTACTAAAATAGTATACCTTTATAGGAAGCGACTCTACGAGATAGCTCGCGAGGTATATCCTACTAGTCCGTATAATAKGGCCTCGAAGTTCGTACGGCGCCGCGAAAAGTATATTACCCCTAGTCCGGATATAGTCTAGAGTATAGATGCATATTATAAGCTTAAGGACTACGGCTTCTAAATCTACGCGGCGATAGATGTAGATACGCGATACGTTTTATATACGTACCTTAGTCTATCCGCCCGTATAATAGTTTCCGTACTATTAGGCTTTATAAAGGCTGCTAAGGAATATAAGCGAGTCCCCCGTATTATCCGTATAGATAAGGGAAAGGAAACCCTTCTTCTTACGTAGACTTAGTATTAACACGTAAGGATCGTTCGCGGGTATAAAACACGTTTTCGCCGCTACTTTGTATTTAGAACTAGTACGACTAATGTTCGTATTAAGTCGTAGTAGGGCTAGTTAACGAGAGGGAGGTTTAAGCAGTAGTATATAAGTAAAACAATATTATCGAACATTCGAACATTTA